TGTTTCGGAGTCGATCGCGGATATCTCGAATAAATGTTATTGACGCTGATGGTCGAGGATGGACCGACGATTTCTAAGCTCGTTCGCAAGATACTTCGGAAGCATGCGAAGGAACGGTGTTCCGCGTTACTACTCGGAATGGAATGGCCACGAACGAGCCGGGGCAATGAAAATTCAATGATGCGAGCAATTTCAGTTCTCGAGGGCCGTGCAAGCTGCAATCTGAAAGTATAAACAGTAGTTGTTTCGGCTGTCTCTGTTCGTCTTTCGCCAGGCTTCCTCCGGTTCTCCCTTTTCCACGAGCCCATTTCTCCGTTTTCTCTCGCGCCAGGCGGCCCGCGCGTATGCAGTGTCTCTTGGTGGTTGACTCGCGTACTGTAATCGCGTAATTTGCGTGTAACGATGCAATTTGTAGTTATGGCGACCCCACGGTCTCTTTTGTAAGATCGGCGACGACAACGATTACGACTACGACGAGGATGCGAGTCGAACGTCGACGACGACCGCGGCCCGGAAAAATCCACGGTGCGATGGCCGCGCGAGCTCGTCGCTCGCGACTGTCTAGCGTGATTCGGTTGATTCCAGGTGAATTTTTTGAACGTTGCACATTCGTCCTCGAGCCTTAACCCTCTGCGCTCCAAATATTTTTGTTTCGGTACATTTTTACCGAACCTCGCTCGACGTAGAAATAACATTTGCTCAAGGGACTGTTCGCCACGCGAGGGTGTTGTAAGAGAGTTGTGAGAGACCTCGGATGGGTTTGAAGGGTAGGTGATGCAACACCTAGATATTTTATACGGGAGTTAATTGGTCAAACCTGGAAACTAGTAGAATAACTTAAAAGTGGTTAAGGATAGGAACAGAGCATCGAGGGGAATATGGAGCAGTTTTCGTGACTAAACCTGTCAGTGAACCAGATCGATATGTTTTAACACTTTGACCTACGATTTACTATAGAATCGTGAATGCCATAATCAGGTATAAAATTCCTTGCGCCTTTTCGTACGACTTGTCTGACTCGTGGTTTTCATGCCCTACTCAAATTCTGTACCACGAGTCTCACACTTGTTAAAGGATTAATTAAGCTGTATTTGCGCCAGCAAGTGTATATTACCTCGATGTGCCTCATTATAATGACGCATGACAATGACAAATATAAATATACAAAATTATACAAGGATGCAATTTACATTTCATCCGAAAAGAATCCGAGTACCGTACGATGACCATTTAAAGTTCGTTAACCGATTCCCAGAAAAGCGTAAGAGAAAAAACTGCATAAGAAAGGTAGTAGCAAAGGGGTCGATACAGAAAAAACGTGAGAAGCTAGTTCCCACTCGTAAAAAACGTCGGCTTCGTTTGTATTTATTATGTCCGCGCTGGAGGACCCATTGGCGTAAGGTCACCGTTTTCACTAGTTTTTATTGGAGTAGTTATCATTTAGATATCATTCCTCTTAGCATCCGTTTATCAATTAGATTCTTATTTATAACTGTTGCAAGGTGTAAAAACTTTGAACTGTAACGTACCTACTTATTAGTATAATTATTCAAAACTAATTTCCGAGGTTAATCCAATACACTTTTTCATACAATAAATGAATTCATGAAGGTTAAGGTTAATACACGAGGTACAATTTGTCGCAATTTATGTATTTGGCGATAATTCAAACAGTCTCGATGCAGTTTCTAAAAACAAACTGATTGAACCTGGCTGGTTCGCGCTACGACTAACAGTAGATTCAGACTGTACGACACAGACCGTCACGTTCCGGCAGTGACACGTACCGGGACCGACACGACAAAACATTAACACACACGTTTTAATGGAACTATTCACACCATTCCCGTTGATAGTCCCGTTCAGGTCGATGTCGGTTAAGTGCAAATAGTTCTATTAAAACGTATGTTTTAATGTTTGGTCGTGACGGTCCGTGCTGTATAGTCTGAATCGACCTTTAGGCTATTTATTAAATTGCAGAGTCTATTAATGGGATCAATACGAGGAAGCTTAGTCTCGTACACTAGAGATAGTCTTGTGCAGTTTCCAGCAAATGATCTTGCCATTTAACATTTTTTAAAAGGTCAAGGTTGAGACTACCGTTGCAAGCTCAGGCGCGTTTAATTTTGATTACAAGTGCTCCCATCATGGTTACCTTCTCTGTCAATAATTTCCACTAACGATTATGGTCTCTGTCGATACGCGTTATTCGATTAAACATTAAACTATCGCTGATGCATCCACGTTGACATTCGATATTTACCAAAACTGTCCGAAGAAAAAGGAATTCAGCGAACTTTGACCGAAAATCGCGTTAAAATTCCAGCTTCGAGACGATTAATTTTACAACGTCGGCTAAAATTCCTTGACCGATAACCGCGAACCATTCACGATCCAGTTCCCATAAAACGTCCGTCAGTGCATCGCGAGCTTTTTAAGCACTAGGTGAAATTGCGGAACCGGTTCCTCGAGTCGGCGCGAACGGGCCTTAACTAATTAATTTTTTCGTTAATATGCGCTAGTAAATCCGCGACGCTACAAATCGAGGAGACTAGTTTCCTTCGCGAAGCGAGGTCGTATCGAATGGTTCGAATTCATTTTCTTTCGACCAGTCGCTCCAACGCTGATGACCACAGAGGTTTCTTCCTTCCGCGTACCAATCCTATGAGTTCGTTTTCACACACGAAGTCGATAATTTAGAATGCCGATTTTTCTTTTTATTACTACGTGATTAACTATACGAAGTCTATATAAACCCCGTCTTTAACGATCAGTAGAAATTCGTGTAAAAAATCACTAATGTTATGAAGTCACTAATGAATTTCATTAAATATTATTGTACTTTATTTTGCTCCACAATTAAAATATAATTGACTGACAATTCATTAATCATCTCACCAATAATGATAGAAGCAACCATATCTTTCTTCCATCTACACATCAAATGCATTGCAATTAAAATTACCTAACAATAATAACTTTAAATGTATATCAGAAATTTATTAAAAACACCAAGTTGCCGACATTCTTCTTAGCAACACTGCATATCGTATTTCTCCCTAACATAAACGATTGTTAACCTCGCTAGAGCCCGATGGATTACGCGAGCTGCTCCTTAGCCACCCCAAGCAAGAAACCGGCCTAATTGGCATTTAATAATCGAATAATCGCGGCACGTCACTGTTTCGCTGAAAGAAACTTTCAGACGATACTGGGAGCGTCGATCGTTAGACGTAAGAGCAACCAGGAAATTGTTATCTAATTTACTTTTAAACGCCGCGAGTGAAGTACGTGGGATGCGGTGGCTGGCACGGAAGGCGAAACGGAGCTAGCGATCGTCGATGCGAATCGCACGGAGGACGGAGAATATTCTCGATAATCTGGATCGAACGTTTCGTGCACAGAGGACGCTTTGTTGGCACGATATGAATTGCCTTTTAATTGCTTCCAAGTATCCGCGGTTGCGTCGACCCGTCGACCGAGATCCCTCGGTTCCGGATATGCGTTCGCGCACCGATGATCGAACTCCTGTCCTGTCGGATCGTCGTCTACCGAGACGGAATCGGAATACTTTCCTCGAAGAGGCTATCTCCTAAGGGTGGCGCGATAACCCATCAAAAGACGAACGGAGAAAGAGTAATCGAAACAGGGTAACGCGAGACAGAGGATGAACCTCGCTTCTTAACGATCAGCAGAAATTCGTGTAAAAACAGATGGGTTCCGCAAAGACCGTAGGATAAAATTAGGGATACGTTCCGTGTTATAAAAAAGAAAACCTCGTGTAAGATGAAATTAGGAATTTCAGATTAAGAATCGTGTAAAAGAATATTGGAAACTGTAAAAGTTCGATATGCATACGAACGATATGTGCATATATAATTTTATTGAGTAGTAACACATAAAATACATACATAAGTCATGGGTATATATACGTAATATTAATATGTACGTTACGTAAATGTCGTACGAATTGGAGAGTTAAGAGTTATCTTACGACTGAGCGATTCTTTAAGCGTGGCAAAAACGTGGATTTGTTTTAATTAATTGGTACCAATCAGCGCAACTTCTACTAAGGACAAATCCTAGGATTGCTCGTGAAAGATGAGCAACTCTATCACGGATTTGCCCAAAAGATAGGGAAAGTTCCTCCAGTAAATAAAGGGTTAAAATTCAAGCGAACTGTTTGGCCAACCCAATGTGTTGTCATTTGCGCCAAGGACTCGAAACATTTATACATTTCGCAAGGGAGACAGACGCGAGGACGATGTTGACGCGCGAACGGGCACGGTGACTCGATCGTTCGCTGCGAAGACGAGACAACGTCGATAGGGACAGATGACACGGCTTAACGCGATTCGATTTAACGAACGACGGACGCGCAATGGTCTGTGTTAGGCCGCGTCGGCGTAGCACGCGACGCACGCGTGACAGATATGTAGATAAAGCCATCGTGCACACGGTAAAGAGGTTAAAAGGTGATTGGTCCGCGTTCGTTTCGATCGAATCGGTATCGTCGGCGCGCACGTGCGCGCCATCCAGCTACGTCGCGGCCAATCCTCGCGGTTCTTCCTTAGACAATTACGCGATAGGCATTTAAGTGAAAGGAACCTACTCGAGGACATGGATTTTCGACTAATTTCATCCGAATCGTGTACTATGCGCCATGCCAATACTTTTTACGTACACGCAAAGTTAAATATCCTTTTTCGAAAAGATGGCCTCTGGCGGTGTCCGTAAATTGCGTCACCCTTTCAAAATTACAGGCCGAACAGCTCATTTATTTCATTACACAATCGTAGACGTACTTTTGGAAGTCAATAAAGGCGGCCATCTTCTCGTTTCACTCCTTCGGTTTGAATTTCTCCAAGAAACTTGTTTGTTTTCTACTTGGTTATGCCCAGGAATCCCGCAAAGGTTTGCGCAAATGAGAGTCCAACGCTAAAGAAACGGGACACCGAATGGAAGCGAGATTTTAACCCGTAACTTTTTCCTCTTTCCAGGATGCAAAAGCTTCTTCAAGAGGAGCGTGAGGAGGAACCTAACGTACTCGTGTCGAGGGAATAGGAACTGTCCCATCGACCAACACCATAGGAACCAGTGCCAGTTTTGTCGGTTGAAAAAGTGCCTGAAGATGGGCATGCGACGGGAAGGTATGTACCGAATCACTTTTCTCGTATCGAACCGATTAGGTCGTAGTTAAATCTCAAAGGAACGCGATTGTAGAATTTGAATTCAGGTGTTTAGATTTACCTTGATTTGTCAAAATGAATATAATGGGCGAGAAAGATCGCGACACCACGAAGTCTTGTCGAAACGGAGAGTCCTAATGCAGGATCCACTACAACGGTCTCACCCATAAGTTCTCTGACACATCTAGGTCGAAACGCCAGCATTTTTGCTGTTCGTCGCGACTCGTTACTTTCGCTTCTACCTATTCTATTTACTAATACGCGAGCTGGTTACATTTATGCAACGGAGACGAGTTTCTGCTAAAGTGCTGTTCGCAACCTGTCGATACAAAACAACGGTTGCGATTCGCGGCAGCGAGGTCCGTAAGGTCAAAGTTGAGCGAGGCGGAAACGCTTCTATTTATTTGCAACGGATTCGCAACGCGTCGCGCGCGAATGCACGAGCATCCTTGGAACTCGTCGCGCTAACGCGGGACAAGTGCGCGTATTTATATCTGGACGCGTTCTCGTTTCGGTCGTGCTCGAGCTCCTCGAGGTCTTTTTTCAGCCAGCTCGTCGATACCACCGATACTCTTGTTCTTCGTTCTTTGCTCGATACGTCCAACGCGAGATCTAGCCGTATAACCACGACGCGGTGCACTTCGGGGTTACGTTAACCCCTTCGGACCTGACTTTTTTAAATTAACCGTAATTCAATTTTTTTTTTTTTTTTTTGTTTCGTGGCTCATTCGTGTAGTAAACAAGAGTCTATATGGCACTAAGTACATATTTATATGAAGGAATGAAGAGTACTGATCTGTAATAGGGTGGCTTGGTCAAGGTAGTGTTTACGTAATTACACGTACACATACGTAATTATTCCAAAAAAAATCTGAAAGTTAACACATTGCGTACGGTGTTTTTTTTTTTGTTTTTTTTTTTTTGCGTACGTTCGGCTTGCTAAAGACGAGATATCTCACGTGCATCAGGTCTTGAGGGGTTAAATCCAAAGAACAAAATGTCTCTCGTAATAATTCTTCGAGGAACGCGTACACTTCGTTTAAATAATTAAAAAGAATATTTAATAGAAATATTTAATAGAAAATCTAAGAAATATAAATTACAGCCTATTTCTGTCGAAAGCGTAGCTGACTCGCGCAGAACATTTCCAGTAAATCTCTGTGTACCTTTACTCCCCGTGAGTAACCAGCAGTAGGACTTCGTCGAGGCGTTAATTTGCTCGTACAAACGAAGACACGTGCGCTATTCGTAGCCTTCCGAGCGACGTTGGCTCACGAAAATCCCGGAAAGATTCCCACGCCTCTCCCCTTCCCAAGATTCTTCCTTTTTCTCCCGTTGAACTTGGCTGTTCGCGGCGCGATAATATCTGACCTTGTTAGAACACGCACGAGCTGGTCACCGTCCGACGCGAACGATCCAGGTGTACTTATTTCCGTCCGAGGTTTCGCCACTCGCTCATCCCTCCTCAACGTCGGGGCCCGAAGGCCCCCTGCTGGTCCGTGCCTCGAGGTACGTTGACATGCACCGAGCGTTGGCAAACAAACAACACCGAATTATTACGGAGGGGTAGATTTGACCAAAATTGAAAGGAGACGTTCACCTGGATACTTTACTTCTCTTTGGGGACTATAAATGGAGGCATAAATGAGACAAGGCTGGTAACTAACCCTTTACGGACAATTTGATGAAGATATTTTGTCTCGATGAAGTTATACTAAATATAGTCCCGTGAGAATTAATCCTTTGCACTCGAGAGGCGAGTCTCAGCCACCACGTATAGATCGATAAGACCGATTCACTTTCCAAGTAATTCGTTTGCCATTGTTCGGTACACGTCAACGCATCTCCGCGTTCCGTCGCGGTCCTCCTGTTCCGTCTCGCGGAAGTTGGACAATTTTCTCACGTTTTCTCTTGTTCTTGACCGTCCCCTTGCCGTGATCCCGACCTCTCTCTCTCTCACTCGTTCCCTCGTCGCCAGATAGCATCTGACCTTGTTTGAGGCGTACGTAAGCGAGACGGTCATCGACACGAACGGTCAGGGAGCGCAGCAGGAGGAACCTCGCAGAGCAGGACACGGGACACTCTCGTGGGGTTAACCTGGATAACCAAACTCTATATCGATATAGAGCTTGCTACTCCTTCCAAAGCTAATTCTAGGAAACATACGCAAAGTCCCTTTAAAAGTAGAGTACCCGTTCATAACTCTGGGCGCGATCGCGTGCCAGTTGTGCAGGTTTCTAATCGATAGAGGCATCCTTTGACTTCGGTGTAACAGAACTAAATATCTAGACACTGGATACTGGTACCAAAGTTCTTATTAACCCTTTGCATTCTCCGCCATCTCGAAACGTGTCTTGTTTGGTATTATCAGACTTGATTATAAATTCTTATAGCTTTCTTGAAGCGTGTAACATAGATCCTTGATGTCAGCAGTGCTGTCGCTAACAAAATTTGTCAGACTTACGATGTCTCCTCGCAAGGGATATCCGAGTGCAAAGGGTTAATTTCGAATTTTCCTGAAACTAGCAAAATCTGGAGTGCAAAGGGTTAGAACTGTCGAAATCGCTCGCGCCGTGCCAGCAGCCATAACAGAATCCGCTCATCGGCGCTGGTCGACGCCTACTCGACCCCCGTAGGAGCTCCGTCGCGTTTTCCCACGGGAATACAATGTTTTCTGCCCTGTCGCGGCGACGTCCGCTCATTATCCGGGATGATGCCTCGAGTTTTGATAATAATTCGAAACGTTCACCGGCGCGGGGCACGCAACGACTCGCGGTGCCCGCCAGCTCGGTGCCTCGCGAGTCTTCGCGAAGGGAAAATACGGCGTGACGGAGGAGAGAAGGTTAAACGAGAGGAAGCGACGAGGATCGCCGGGGAAAGAGCGGGAGGCTCGGGAGGAGAAAATCGAAAGAAGGATAAGCATGACATAGGTGGTCAGGGAGGTGCGGAGAGCGGAGGAGCTCGACGGAAAGAAGAAAGCGCATCCGCGAGAGGGGTTGACGGCGGAGGATAACGTTCCGGGTGTATTGGAACGGGGGAGGACGAAGGCGACGCGGATGAGAACCGAGACGAAGACGAAGTTGAAGACGAAGACGAAGATCAGGAAGAAAGGCGAGCGAAGAAGGAAAGGAGACGAGGAGTAGGATCGACGAAGCCAAGAAGGACGCTCAGCGGAGGGTCGAGCGGTGAGGTATGGGACGAAGAAGATCCTGTGGTGGGGAGGTCGAAGCGGTGGGGCTTGTAGGGGGCTAGAAGAGGCCAGGAGGGGAAGGAGGAGAGTCGGTGGTCCGAGGTCAGCGGGGTGCATGACCTTACCTCGGGGCCCCTTCCTTCCGTGGGGCCCCCGAGGCAGACAGGATGCGCTCAAGATTACCCTGCAGATACTGTCCGCGATGATTACAGAAATCTAGGAAGCCGCTCAATTTAATTAACCCTTAATTGCGACTGGCCGACGACGACGGTACGTTTCGCGGAGGCTCTCCCGTTTCTTCCTTCCTCGTCTCGGTAGCTACGAAAACGACCGCGACTCTTCGCGTGCCGCGATACCGCGAGGAACTCTTGCCTCTCGAAGAAACACCGCGGGAGAGCCTCGCGTTCGATTCCACTCCGATATTCGACGATGACGTCCTCACTTTCCAACCCCTATCCTTGTTGGATTCCGTGCGAGAGGAATTAACCGGCAGCACCGTTTCTCTAAAAAAAAACGGTGCGCAATTTTTGAAATTGGAGCAAACACGAATAATGAAATCATTCTGATGGCGACTGTCAGATTTGTGGATAACGTGGATGTCTTATTTCCATTAGGAACAGCGAGTGTGAAGAACGACTGAGAAGCTCGGAGCCGAGATTTGGATGTTTGGTGAAGGATGTGTCAATGGCGTTTGTTATGTTTCTGATTAATTTCGTTGGTCATTCTACATCCTCTTGATATCTTCAAAATACTGGCCATCGTTCTTTCCTCCATCTTTTTCTTCTTTCGGAAAAAGGAACTTGCATAGAAACGGAAGAGGACCTAGCTAGAAACTTTTGACAGAGATACAGGCACAACAGCTGGACGAACTCGTCCGAGATCGATGTAGCCCCAGAGCATTCGCCGGTGTGCCAAGGTGGATTTCACTTATCGCTCGGCGTCGAAGCACGCGGCACGGCGATGCAACGACGATGGCCATTATGGCCGCATTAACTGAAATTAGACATTGTTTCCCTTGCCGGGCTGGAACGATCCAACAATGGGAGGACGACGAAGGCGGATAGTCCGCTCGAACGAACGTTCGGGGCAACCGAACCGAACCAAAACGATGAGAAGAAGGAAAGGCTGAGAGGATGTAAAAAGGGACGGGAGGAACCGAGACGGAGCGAGCTGGTAAAAATTACGCGAGGCCAACATACGAGAGGGAAAGAGAGTAGCGTCTACTTCTCCGTTTCTTGCCTTTTCTTTTTCATCCTGTGCCCCGTTCTTTCTCTCCATCTTGTACGTTTTTCTCTGTCCCCGATGTCTACCTTTCTCCCCAGCGTGCGCCAAGAAGAGATTGCCGATATTACGGCAGGGTCAGGATCGTGACTTTAATCAATTAGCGAGGTTTCTCGGACCCGGGAAATGATTAGTAATCCGGCTGGCGGTCGATCCTTGATTCTCCGCGCACGGAGGAGCCTCCTCTCCGCCCTTCGGTATCGCCGCTCCCCGTGGCCGCACCGAACGGACCGATAACGCTGGATAAACGTTCATCCCCAGGGAATACGAAACTGAGAACGAAGAGGAGAGCTGGCGAGCACGGTTTGACAAATGCGAGCATCGACGCGGTTCCCCGCGAGTAAACGTTGGACCGTCTATCGTCGGACCGAAAATGCCACTCGGTCGCGTCGGTTGCAACCCGGTGACGAAACGCGAGCTTTGCGTGTCGTTGCAACCCAAAATTAAACGTTCGAGGGCCGCGAGAACCTTCGCGACTACAACGTTGCTT